TCCTAAAAATCATGTCTAAATGCCAAATAGAAAATACAAAATATTTGGAACAAAAGTCATGATTCGGGCTAATGGACAAACTAAAATCACTAATCCTTTAGCTTTGGATCAGAGCTGATTAGGGTTATTTATGGATACTTTTCATTAGACCAATATTTTCCCGATTGACATAAACACTTCTTTCTCAGTCTTGTTCAAACACACACACGTACACAGCTCAATACTGAGAAAAAAAGTAAAACAAGAAAGTGTGAAAGGGAAATGAAGTATAGCCAGTTGGTTTTTTAATAGAAAACTTTGTCTTCATAGACCCCTGACAAGGTCATACTCACCTTGGAATCACCATGACCACTGACAGGCACTTACTATCCTTGGAAAAACACCTCTGACTTATTAGTTACATTAGAGAGGCGGGGGAAGGTAAGAAATAAAAGACTGGGGAGAGGCCTCGATTATCGTTGAAAGATCTCACAGATGTGGGTTTTATCTTCTTTGATTCTTCAGTGAATTAGTAAATGTCTAACATAATCTGGAAATCTTTCCCTAAGTTAAAGAAAGAAATATTTGGGACTTTTTACTGTATAGCAGTTCCCCCCTTTGAACCCAGAATTCCCAGGCTAAAGATTAGTGAGTTAAATCAGAAAGCCCCATGCCTTCCCCTCAGCAAGGTTAATAATTATACCCCATTTAATGCCTAGAATCCCATTTCCAACCAAAAGCCTTTAAGTAGCAACTCTCATAGTATGTTTCATTAGAGATTATACCTAATGATTAAGCTGAAGTTTGAAGTTTTAAGAATTATATTCAAAACCTTAAAGCTATGCCCCAAAGGAACCTACCTAAAGTACGGGCAACCCCCTTTACCCCAAACTTGTCAGTTTTGATATTCCTGAAATCTCTCGTCCCACCTCTCACGTCTCTCAGGGGCCCCTGCGAGTGTTCCTCCCCACTAAGAAGAAACAGAGTTCCCCCCAATTCTCCATAATTGAACATCTAAGATGAGGGACGTGGATTCAAGAGGATTCAGGGTGCCTGGGTGGCTCAGTTGGTTAGGTGACTGCCTTCAGCTTGGGTCATGATCCTGGAGTCCCGGGATGGAGTCCCACATCGGGCTCCCTGCTCTGCAGGGAGTCCGCTTCTCCCTCTGACCCTCCCCCCTCTCATGCTCTCTCTCTCTCTCAAATAAATAAATAAATAAAATCTTTTAAAAAAAGAAAAAAAGAGAGAATTCAACCTGATGGCTCATCCAACAAGGAGGATCCCACTTCCTCAGAAATGCATTCGCTGGGGTCCTAGCTCAGAGTTTAACTGGCAGATTTCTCTTTAAGGCCCCAGTTCTCAAAACTAGAGGGAGCGTACTTTTTTCTTGGGCACATTACTCAGACCAAGGCAAGCCTGATCGTCCACCGGTCGTGAAGTGCACGTGTGTCTACTGCCTCCGCTCGCACATGAGAAAGAGCAAGGAGAAACCCAAACAGATCCTTCATTTTTTTTCAGAAATAGGAATGTGAGGAATGGGCAAAAATGATCTTTTCTGCTGGCTCTGAGAACACAGAGTGGCAAGAGTCAAGAAAAGAAAGCTCCGGGTTGTTCTGGACACTTGCATTCGGGGTAGAGCAGAGAAGAACCAGACACAGGGAGAAGAAGACAGGGGAAGCCGAGAAGGAAGGTCGAAGGCCCGAGCCTGAACTGGCCTGGGAGACCAAGCTAGCTTTAATAATGGGGAAGTCTGATACTCAGTTCAAAAACCATTCAGCCCTCAAAATGAGGGCCTTGAATCAAACCAATGTACAAGTTCTTCAACAAAGATCATTGCCAATGGAGTTAAAATCCATCCGAGCAAGAAAGAGAGGCTACAGAGTGGTCTAGTCCACGAGGACAGCGCCTTGTTGCTGGGCTCCCAGGGGACAAGCCCAAAGACTAGCACACAGCAGGCAGCCAATAAATCCTTGTGAAGTCATAACATTCATTTCCTACAGCTCCAGATTACACTGGAGACACAATAATATATCACACAAAGGCTCAACGACGGCTTATTTTATCCCCACAACAAAATCTAAACAGAAGTTGGCCATGAAATGCTTTAGGTTTTTTTTGTAACATCCCATTTATACGGGAAACACAGAACAACCACAGTTCAGCCTTTGCTGCAACATGATGGAGTCAAGACCCCTTCAAAAGCTCCACACAAACTGGATCGAAGCCCTATCAAATGCAATCACTTATTGTCTGGTACTAGATGGGCATACATCTGTCTTTTCAGCAAGACTCTAAATTCCCCGGGGGTGAGAGGCTCTGTGTGTCTTGCTGAACTTTGCCCCCAGTGCCCTGTCAATGTGCTGCGCGGTACAGGCATCCAGTCCCGTGAAGGCAAAGCAGATGAGGTGCAGAAACAAGGAGAAACTCCTTCAGGAAAGCAAAAGGGCCAGAGCACAGTGGGGCCGGTAAGGACGGGGAAAGGCACGCTTTGTGCAGATTAGAGGCTTCTAGCCGGAGGGCAGAGGAAACACAGCCTGCTTAGGTGGCAGAGGAAAGAAAAAAGCTGGTGAGTTAACTTGGAATGTGGAAGGATCACAAAAGATCTGCACCTGGACTGAGAGGAGGGGAGAAGGAAGCAAAGAGAGGACCAAGAAGGCGTAAATAAGAGATGAGGTGCCAAGGTCCGAAGATGAGCAACCCGTCTCTGTTAAGACCCCCACTGATGGAGGGAGTGTCGGAAGAAAGATGAGAAGACAGCTATAGAAAATGCCTGAGGACTGGGAGCATGAGTACGCCTGGTCTAGAAGCTTCCTTTATCTGAATATCAGTAAAAGAAAGACCCACATATAGGCAGACAAGGGACATCTTCTCTGCATCCACCATGCTGTGCTGCCCATCTTGGAGCAGGGGCTAACCCCCACAAAGATGCCTTCTCAGTTTTTAAGACGTATCTCCTTTTTCTTCTCCCCCTTTCCTCCTGCCGTCTGAGGTGTTGGCCAGATAAGATCATGCACTTCTTTAGGGTTAGTGACAGAGGTCGGTAGAGTTCTGCCTTTCTCTGTCCTGGTGATATGGCCACCAAGAGCAAGAGGAACAGGCCTGGCTGTCCTTTCAGTGTCTCTTCAAAGATGAGCCTCATGGAACAGAAAAGCAATGACGGAAACCACAAAGGGACTTCAAATGTCAAGGTGACACGCACAGTCTCATTGCTGTGACCTGTGGTCAGCTAGTGGATACCATTGTGTCTAAATTATTAACTAGCTAGAGAACATCCAGATCATATTGTGAACTTGGGTGCGGGAGCTCTGGGAGAAGGGAAGGAATGCTGTTAACTCCCAGCGCCCACTGGCCGGGCTTCCTACCACATGCGCAAATGGCCTGCAGCGCCTAGGACACAAAGCCACACACCCAGCAGAACGCTTCTGAACTATAAAGGGTCTTTCTAGGAGTAACACGGGCTGGGGATTCTTAGAATTAATATGTTTAAGCTACGAGGATAACGGACTGGTGCACCGGTGTGATGGTCTTTGTTACAGCCCAACACAGACAATATGGACAGTATGACATTATCTCAGTTTTGAGGGAAATACCCCAATTTTGATAAGTAACGTTACTCACCCTTTATACCAGAACATCTCTGAATAAGCATGGTCTGTGTTCCTACTGCACGGGCAGATCCCCCCTTGAACCTACTGTCCACCCTCCGATTCCATGTAAGCATGTTCTAGACCCACTTCAAGAATTCTCTGAACCCTTCCTTGTGACTGGGAATAAGATATGTTACCTTCTTCCAAACAACAGCGGGTCATCAATAGCCTTTGACAAAGGGGTGCCACCTTTTCTCGGTAGACACAAATGCTAAATAAAATCACCACCTCCAATCAAGAAAATAGCATCTATGGTTTTTGTGAAAGGCCGGTGTCCGTCAAGTCTGTTCTCAAATTCTGAACACAGATAGTCCTCTAACCTTAAACTTGTTGCGTTCTAAAGGTTTGATTGTACACCAGTCGTGGAAAAGAGAGAGGTATATCCCCCAGTAAGAATTACACACATAGCAGGTTCTCAGAACAGCTCAGAAATCTAGTCCTCTCCTTCAAACAACAGGAATAATACAGTAGAACTGAGAGCTCAAGTGGTATCTTGATGAGAAAATGCATTCACACTTCCCTTTGGGGATTCCAGGAACCCCAAAACTCTCCCTTTCTGGCAGTGAAAGGAGGGGCTTCTCTTGCTCAAAGTGGTCATTTGGTGGATCCTGGTGTGGACTTCAGGAGGGAGCTCTCTCTGTGTTGAAAATCAAGACCAGGGAATGCAGGGGGAGGGGAATGAATGCATCCATGTCTAGACTGGGAGGCAGGGTTGGAGGACAGAAGGGGGACAGCGGGCCTCAGGGAGGAGCGGGGCTTGGGGAGTCGAGGAGCTCAGACATGCTGCTTCCCACCACCTCTCCCATCTCCCCGGCATGCCCAAATTTCTTCCACTTCTTTCTCTTTATCTCTTCTGGAAGCTTTTGTGGAGAAGGGCTAAGAAAAAATGGAAGGTGACAGCGGGGAAGTTGGAAGAAAGGAGATGCAGTTGGAAGAAAGGAGAAGACGAGGGAATCACCAGGGAGAAATACAGCGGAAGAAACGCAGTCTCCTAGTCGGAGGGAAGGGTTGGGTTTCTCACAGGTAAGATGTGCACCACCAGTCAGAACCTTGTCTGGGAGCAGGTGCACAGACCCACAGGTAAGAGACACTAGGAGCTACTGCTCCTCAGCAGAACACTCGGCACTTAAATGAGAGCCCTTGGGAACACTTCCCCCACAAAGGATGATCTTTGCAAGAAAGGGTCATTGAAAAATTTACTGCACATCTGTTGCACGTTGCCAGCTTCCTCCTCAGACACCTAGAGCCCAGAGAAACATATGCTCACGTTTAAAGAACTCACACACCTCAAATTCCAAGTTCTAAGATATGCAGTAAGAAATACAAAAATGGCACTGTGATTTACTGGAGTCTTCCAAGTGTCACTGGTATTACCTCTGTATTAACAACTTCCATAGGTCTCCTCTTCATCTCTCCTATGTCCAAGTAACTGTGGGAGGAAAACAAAACAGTAAGGTTCCTTTTGTTGCTTTTGAGTTAGTTATGTAAATTTCTTATTAAAAATTATTAAGACGTAAAGCAAGCCATAGGCAATGCTTAGGCCTAAAGCAAAAAATAGTTACCAATTAAAAGCAATGAGGGAATTAGGAACTGCCCTGAGCATCACCCACCAGAGCCGGTCCATGTCTTCTCCCAACATCAATGACACTGAAGTCTTAGAAACACACACTTCTTCGAGGAAACGTTTTTCCCCACAATGGTTGGCCCCTGACTATCTATGCAGTATTACTAATTCTTACACCTTTTTTTTTTTTAAGATTATTTAGTTATTTATTTATTTGACAGAGACACAGCGAGAGAAGGAACACAAGCAGGGGGAGTGGGAGAGGGGGAAGCAGGCTTCCCATGGAGCAGAGACCTCGATGCAGGGCTCAATCCCAGGACCCTGGATTATGACCTAAGCCAAAGGCAGACACTTAACTGACTGAGTCACCCAGATGCCCCTTCTTATACCAGTTTTGATAGAAAGAGTGGTTTGTGTGTACAGTTCCTTAACAGTTTCATTTGTCACAGCTTTTAGGTCAAAACAAAGTACTGGGGTGCCAGGTGGCTCAGTCGGTTAAGCATCTGACAACTCCTGGTTTTGGCTCAGGTCATGATCTCACAATCATGGGATCGAGCCCCACATCAGGCTCTGGGCTCAGCTTGGGGTCTGCTTCAGATTTTCTCTCTTGCTCTCTTTCTCTGTCTCATAAATACATAAAATCTAAAAAACAAAACAAAAAACACAACAAAGGAAGTACTGACAGCATGCATTAGACCATCTGTGAAGGGGGGGGATATCTTCTTCCCTATGAAAACACTTTCATGATATGGAAATGATCAGCCACGGGGATGTTTAGGCACTGGTTCAGCTAAAATGTACATGGATGGCCTCGTTAACCTCTGGAGACCCCTATTACTAAATTACTACTTGCTCTAGATATTAACTAGTGATCTTCTTTAGCTATAGTGTGAGTACAACCTGAAAGCCACACTTGTGTCAACCTCAGGCCCCGAGGCCATCACTGCGATCTGGTTCCACTGTCCTTCACGCATAGCAGGTGGTGAATAAATGTTTTAATATAAAAATAAGTATAAATCTAGCCTTTAATTTATAACCATAGATGCAAAGATACCTCAACCACCATCAGTGCCGAGTTGCCAAAAACAGAGTTTATATTAGAATTAATTTTATCTATGTTTTGTTATTGTTGTTTGTATTTTTGGATAGAATGCTTTAGTTAATCAGTACCACTGGAAATTTACATTTTTCTTACATGAACTGTATTTACATAAGACAGTGCAAAACTCCCTCTGTTTAGCAGTAAAATGGCTCTTTTGCAAATCTGCGGGGACTGATTTCTGACACAAGAGCAAAACAGCTTAACTGCCATTTGCAGAAAAGTGATCTCAGACCCACAAAATTAATGAAGTAGAGTCAACTTCCAAAACTTCCACACAGGAAAGCTTTAAGGAAAATAGCTATCTCTAGAATTCTCCGCTACAAAATAAAGGTTGAATAGCTACCTCAAGTTTAACTATGGTTTCAAAAATTTTAGGAAAACCCTGAGTCAAAGAAATTCAAGAAGGAAGTTGATCATTTTCATTTGAGTATTTTTTTCTACCATTGCTAAGTTCCCAAACATCGCTTAGGGTCCAAATGACATAAATTACCCTCAATATCTTCTGGGCTTTCTTTTCTTTGGCCGGTTGCCCCATTTGTTATGTAAACTTGCGACTGCTAAGTTTCCAACACATTCAGCATTTAAATCTTCAGGGCTTATCATTAAAACCATAGATTATACTTGAACAGAAATAAACAAACTGTTCACCTGTCAGCATGGAAAACTAACCATGGAAACTGTTATAACAAACTCGGGAGTTTTTTTGTATATGAGTTAAGAGCAAAGATTACCATGCAAATCTCTTATATCCATATAAAGAATGACTTGAAATACACTTCCTCTTTGGTTTGGAACTGGACCTGTTTTTAATCTTTTGAGTCGGTAGGGCCAAATAAACAAAAGAGAATAGGAGTTACAAAAGTGAATCTTAGACCTGGAGTGCCTGGGTGGCTCAGTGGGTTAAGCCTCTGCCTTTGGCTCAGGTCATGATCTCAGGGTCCTGGGATCCAGCCCTGCATTGGGCTCTCTGCTCAGCAGGGAGCCTGCCTCCCCCTCTCTCTGCCTACTTCTGAACTCCCTCTCTGGGTCAAATAAATAAATAATCTTTTTAAAAAATCAACAAGATATATGACGAAACATGTATTGTACATGGACATAGTGATCCTTTGTAATTCTATGACATTTTGATGTTTACAAAGCATGCTCACATCCATCGCACTCACTTTCCTAACAAGACCATGATTCAAGCATGGTTATGCTCCTTGTAGGTATCAGGAGGCTGACTTGCTGAGGCAAGTGCCTTGCCCAAAGATACACAGCTAAGAAAGAGCTCAGCCTCATGTCTCCTGATTTTTAAGTGTTAAGTATCTTTGAAGCACATGGCTCCATCTAGTTCTTATCCATGAAGTTAGTTAGCCAAAGTGTGCTGAAGGAGGTTTCCAAATGCATCTGTCATCTCGCATTAAAAACAATGTCTAGCAGAGCAAAAAAAGCAGAACACTCAGAACTCAGTTAAAGCAGATTCAGAAAAGAAAAGTGAATGTGACAACATCGGGGATATTTGGGAAAATATTTCTATATAGTGAAAATTAGAATTCACAAGTCTAGACTTGGCAATAAGGATACGTTTTTGCTATCCTGAGGCCCAAGCCAAATTTCAATGAAAACATTGTATTAACAACTATGAAACATAAAGTTTCCATGCGATCCAGTAATCCACTCCTAGGTATATAACCAAGAAAAATGAAAACTTGTACACAATTGCCTCCAGCAGCATTATTTCATAATAGCCCAAAGTGAAACAACCCACATGCCTCTCAATGGATGACCAAAATGTGGCATAGCCATAACCACGGGGTATTCTTCAACAAGACAAAGAATGAAGTGTTGATACACACTACAACTTGGATGAGTCTGGGAAGCTTCATACCAAGTGAAAAAGGGCAGAAACACCAAAGGCTACATATTGTATGATTCCATTGGTGTGACATATCCAGAACCGACAAATCCCTAGACACAGAGAGTAAGTAGATCAGCAATTGCCAGAGGATGTGGAGAAAGGGAAACTGGGGTTTTGTTCTGGAGTGTTAGAAATGTGCTAACATTATTAGTTCATAGTGATGGTTGCACAACTCCATGAACCTCCTAAAGATGACTGAAATAAGTAAAGTCTATGTTGTGAGAAATATATCTCAATGAAGTTGTAAAAAAAAAAAACGTGTGGAATATTAAATTCTACCTATCCTCCAACACCCACCCCCACCAGAAACAATGTCCCTCAACTGTGAACTTCCACATAATTTTATTTTTCTAATTCCATTTATTCCTTTCTACTTTGCATTAAAATGATTAGTGTGCATGTGGTCTCTCTCCTGCTAGATCTCAAACTCTTAAAGACAAGGAGTCACATCTAGCTCATCTTTGTTCTTTTCACAGATCTAAGCACAGCTTGCGAACTCACTGACCACCTGTATGAGTGAGATTTCTGCCAGGAACTGGGAATAAGCAGACTGACCCCCTGCACTTGAAGGTCTGGCCATCAAGTACCTACAGACAGACATATAGGCAGATACCATAAGCCAAAAAGCTTTTCCAAGCATTATGCTAATAACGTAAACATGCAGGTGGTGGGAGGAGGGTCACAGCAGTGGGGCATGGTCAGTTCTACCTGAAATGAAAATTTGGAAGAATTTAAGCAGGTGGGGTGAGGGGAAGGGCAGAAAGCAATTTTCTCCTCTGGTGATTACATACTATCCAATAGTTCAAAATAATTTTTAAGAAGCAGTTATTTAAACTCAAAAAACATGTGTCAAGAAAAAGGAGAAAGAAAACAAGAAGAAAGAAAAAAAAAAAAAAAAAAAACAACGGAAAACGCTCAAGTGTCCAGTCTGGTCACTGAACACTTTTCTAAGATTCCTGTTCCTCCTGCTTCCCCAGTCACACATAACCCCCCACCCCAGCCGCAGCGGGAGCCCGAGAGGTATCCACCCGCGCAGCCCCAGCCCCTGGTCACCGGGCGGGTGGGCGAGGCGGGGCTCACTCCTTTGCTCAGGCGACGACCTTCAGCGGTGGGCAGAGGGGACAGACGGACTCACTTGAGCTTCTTGAAGGCTTCCTGGCCCCCGGCCACGTAGTTGCCCCCGCTCTGGATCTGGTCTAGCTTCCGGATGCGGTGCCCGCTCCGCGGGGTGTAGATGTTCCTGACCGCCCCAAAGGGCGCCTGGACGCCACCCGTCACCTCCTTCAGAAAGACGTCGAAGCTGGACACCTTCTTCTCGTGAATGACAACGCGACGCCCCGCGAAGAAGGGGTCCCCGTTGCGGTACACCAGCACGCTCTTCACGACCGGCTGGGACAGGTGGCTGGACCTGGCGCCTGTGCCGCTCATCTTCCCCGCGGGACGCCGCCCTACGGGCTTCTCAGGGGAGGTGCCTCTCTGCCCAGATGCCTCGCCGCGCGCACCCCGCGGGGTCGCCTGCTGAAACCAACGCGAAACACACAAGCCCGCGGTTAAAAAAAGAAAGAAAGAAAAAGAAAAAAGAAAAAAAAAAAAAAGGCGGAGCGCGGACTGAGCGCCGGGCTTCCCCCCGCGGAGACCCTGCCGGCTGCGGGGACCCCGCGGGCTGCGGGGCGCGCCGTGCACGTCCGGCGGGCTCCCCACAGTCTGCACAGCCAATCAGCGCTCGCCGTGCGCGCAGCACCCTGCTTCGCACGCTCGGGGCAGAGCCCAGGTCGAGCCGCCCCGGGACGCGAGCGCGCGAGGGTCTTCACTCCCGGGAGCCGAGGCGCCGCGGGAGGGAGAGGTGAGCGCGCGCGCTTCCACGCACACACGAAGGGCAAGGACGCTCCAACTCCATGTCTCACTTCCTAGTCGCGGGACTCTTGCAAACGCTTGCCCGTTCTCGCTTTGCCCCCTAACCCCTTCCTCTCCTGCTTGCTCCCCAAATGAAAGCAATGGAGAGTCTGGCTCGAATTGCCCACATGCTTATTTGCCGAAAAATAATACTCTAATGTGCGTTGAGGGAGAAAAGGGGGGCCTCGGGGGAGGCTCGAGCTTCCGGGACCCCTGGCCCCACCGGCGACCAGCAGCGCCAGCGCGGGCGAAGGTCCCCCGGGTACCGTTTGAACCCCGCGGCGCGCCACCGGGTCCCAGGGCGGGAGGCAGCGGGCGGGGTCCCCGGGGACGCGGCCCCCGCGGGGGTACCTGGCGGCACTCGAGGGCCGGCTGGGGGAGGGCGAGGGCCGGGCGGGGGCGCGGCGCAGCGGTTCGGCTGGCACCGCGCTGAACTCGGGGGCGGCGCGGCTCTGCCGCTGTTCCTCCGCTGCCGTTGCCTCCGCGGGCCTCCCTCACCCCCCGGGGGGGGCGGGGGGGAGGGATGGACTTGTTACTTCTCGCCGTTTCCATAGCGACTGCAGCCACGCGCGGAGCCGCGTCCGCCAATGAGGCCTGGCGCGCGCCCGGGTCCCTTGGGCTTTGCCCCGGGGCCTCCCCAGAGACTGTGGAGAAGTTAGGGTTTGCGGGGGTGGGGGGAGGGGACGCCCGGTGGCGTTACTGTGCAGTCGTAATATAAATGGACGCCCCCTGTGTGCCAAGCGCTATGCTAGAGGTTGGTGATACAGCGGTGAAGACGGCCGCCTGCAGTATCTTGAGTGTTGGCCAAGTCACTCTGGGACATACGTATTGTGAGGCCAGGAAAAGTGTCCTTGAATTCTCCTTGCTGTGTGCAGACTTCATTACTGACTGCTCCTAACGCATCATATATGAACAGAAGTAGCATTGATAATATATATGATATATATAATATATTTAATAACTGCTATTAATGGAATGTTTTCTATGTAGCCAGCACTACGTTAAGATCTTGATTACACTGTCTCCTTGAATGCTCACAATAACCTTCAGAAGCAAGCATTATTCTTTTCTTCTGATGAGGAAACCAAAAAAACTTACCTCGGGTCGCACACAAAAGTTCGAGCCTCCTTCTCTGTGATTCCAGAACTGTCTTGACCACCATGTCCTATGAATCTAAAAGGCGAATGCGTAAACATCGCAATCTGGAGCAGAAACATTTTTATTAAGGTTACCTAATACATTCATGTCTGGAGAGTTCACAGTTTTCCAAAGAAGACCAAAGAGAAGAGAATAATACAGAGAGAAAAGAGAAGGGAATTCTGTAAGCCAGTTGTAAAGAACCCACAGGTTAAGGGAATGAATGGGGAGATTATCTGTGCAAATATGCTACCAAATAAGGAAATAAGGCAGAAAACCTGTTTTGACGGAAAGAAGGCAGTAAACCAAGCAACCCCCAGACAACCCAAACCCCTCTACCACCTATACCACCCTAGCACAAAATGAAAACTTGCTGCCTTTTGTTCAAAAAATTAAGAATATCAAGATGGCAACAGGAAAGCATTAAACCAGACACGGGGACGTCCGTAAGTGTGGGGCCTTGTTGTAAGTCCATGAACCCACCACCTCACATGTACATTCTGGTTCCTTCTACAGGAGTATCTCCAGTGCAGATCTGTCTCCTGGGGCCAGACTTATTTACCCAGTAGTCTCTTAGTGATGTGGTGGCAAGTATTTAGTTAATGGCTGTTGGGGAGGGGAAGTCCTTGATTCATACCTTTTACCAATTTTTGTAGTTTAAATACTGCAAATGTGGCTGATTTCCAGCTACCAGTCTCATGTCACTGAAGGCAAGAAAGGCACAGTTGCATGCCTTTATTTGGTATCTCCACCATACTGTTAGAGTAGACTTGGAACTTCATAGATAATAGTAAAATACAGGTGGTGGCGAGTTTTGAGTGTATTTATTACCTTTGTTTATAATATAATTTATTTAACTGTACATGTAATATAATTTAACTGTACATTTATACAGTTTAAACTTTTTAGTGGCCATGTTTGAAATTTTTTTTGAAAATTTAACAATTGACTCTCACAAGGCGGCTCCTGAACAGCTTCCCTAGACTATCAAAAAGCAACCTAGACTCAACACGTTCATAGGATCTCATGTTTTCACCAACACCTTCTCTTTTCCTCTCCTTCCCTTCTCCATAAAGGGGCCCTCCTCGACGCATCCGAACACACATTCCTCTTGCTCCCAGAACACATTTGACCGTGCAGAGAAACAACAGCGAACAGTCATCTCTTCAACCTCTCTGCTCCTCTGTTTGCTGAATTTGGTTTTGAGCTGTGCAGAAGCCCAAAACCACTGAGCAAAGGGAGAAGCATTTCAGAAGCCACCAAGGGTACCTGAACCCTGATCTCAAACAGTGGAGGGGGAACAAGAAGCCACTTCAGAGACTGATGCTGGACACTGTTAGTGCACACACAGAGAGAGGACAGTTTTGTCTTCCTGCTTCTTCCTAAGTGTCAGAAAGACCTTGAGGGTGAGAGATGGCAGGAGAGGATTTTTTTTTCTTTTCTTTTCTTTTCTTCTTTTTTTTTTTTTTTTTTTTTTTTACAGACAGAGCTCACAAGCAGGCAGAGAGACAGGCAGAGAGAGAGAAAGGAGGAAGCAGGCTCCCCGCCGAGCAGAGAACCTGACGCAGGGCTTGATCCTAAGACCCTGGGATCATGACCTGAGCTGAAGGCAGAAGCTTTAACCCACTGAACCACCCAGGCGCCCCACAAGAGATAATTCTTAAAGAAGTTTTAGTGTGCATTAAAAATAACACCATAAAGATACGGGGCATTTCCTCAAGAGCCTGAGTAAATCTCTGAAATGCTTCCTAGTCTACCTTTCTGCAGAAATAATAATTATTTCAATGGGATACTGGACTGAAACCAGACCACACTGCTCCCTGGGTTTCTAAGGGTTCTTCAGTCAGTCACCATCCTCTATCCATTCTCCCTCTCAAATATTCCTTCATAAGTGAATCCATTTGCTCATCTCCAAATCCATTTCCACCATCATCACCAGAAGTGTCACCCTGTCTCCCGTTGTTTCCCTACTTGCCATTCTCCACAGGACAGCCAGACTGAAAGTCTGTTGAAAAACACACATCCAGCCATGTCACTTTCCAGCTGAAAACTTTATGGATGTCCCTGCTTTTCATAAGATAATACCCGACGTCATCCACAATAATCCCAAAGCCCTGGATATGCCGGCTCATGACGCTTTCAGTCCATTCCCTTCTCACTCGACTCTCCCTATGGCTTCCCAATGTCAAAACCTGACCTTCCACTTCCTCGAGTTCCTTTGTACATGCTTTCCAGCTCCTCGCCCCCCACTGCCTTGTGTTCCAACCAGTACTTCAAGTCCCAGTTAAATGTCATTTCTCCTCTTTCCCAGCTCAAGATATATTTTCTCCATGGTCTTATCAGTTGTAATTATGAACCTTTGTAAAATTATATGTTTAATTTTTGTCTTTGTATGACTGGATGTTTAATCTTTCTATAATTATATGTGTATAGGTATAAATTCACTGAAGGAAAAAAGTATGTCTATTTTTATCCCACAGGGGCTGATATATATATATTTATTTATAAAATAGTACTAGCACAGAGGCTAGTATATATATACATAGAGAGAGAGAGAGCATGCGCCTAGCACAGAGCCTGACATATATGAGATATATATGTAAGAGTACTAAATAATCATTTGATGTGTGAATAAAGTCAAAATGTTTTAAGTTTAAAAATCAATATACAGCTTCAAAATATTTAGAAACTGCTCCTGTGGAAGAAATTTTCAGATGAGCAAATAAAAAAATACTTGATAACTAAAGAGATTCTAAAACTAATTGCTTAGCTTTGGAGAGAAAATGCATGGCCGGATACAGATGAAAGCACCAACACAGGAAGCCGGACTCTTTTTTTTTTTTAATCAATTGATTAACATATAATGTACTGTTGGTTTCAGAGGTAGAATTTAGTGATTCATCAGTTGCATATAATACCTATTCTCATTCCATCAAGTGAGGAAACCAGACTCTTACCCACCACTGAGTTTTGCCAGTCTTTCAAGGCATTAGAGATGTATATAGAATGCGGGACATATTCTGCTAGTTTTTCCTCAAAGAGTGTCATTACTTTTACAACTAGTGTTCATAACTCACTCTTGGAAAGAGCAACAACTTCTCAAGACCATGTTTCTTGGATATACGTTTGGATACGGGTGGCTGCTTCTGATAAGCACTGACTTCCTCTTGTCTGGTGAACTCTGCTGGTACCAGTAATGACTATATTCATCTTCATATCCAGGGATATGGGATGGGATGTCTACCCCAGTTGGCCATATTTTTTTTTTAAAGATTTTATTTATTTATTTGTCAGAGAGAGAGAGGGGGAGAGAGCAAGCACAGGCAGACAGAATGGCAGGCAGAGGCAGAGGGAGAAGCAGGCTCCCCGATGAGCAAGGAGCCCGATGTGGGACTCGA